CACATTCTATTTTATTTCTCCCCATTAAACTTACCACTACTAGACATATAACATTTATTTTTGTTGTCTGTTTCCCCACTAGATCAGAAGTGCCTCAAGAGTAGATACTTGTTCTGTTTTAGTCATTGCTGTATCCATACGTATCAAGAACAGTGCCTGCCACAAAAAGGAATGCAAAATAAATTTTGATTGTATGAAATGGTATTCCTTCATTTCAGAAAGAACAAGTGTAGTATTGTTAAAAGGAGGAAAATGAATATTTAAGGGCCATATCAATATTTACAAGTGAAAACATTAAATACTAAGTATGATATAAGAGGCCTTATCAAAAAGTGGTATAAGAGTTCATAAGACTGTTAATCAATCAAGACAAGGTCATAAAGAAAGGTGTAGAAAAGATGGCATCTGAACTGTGTCTTGAATGCGTGAGCAGATTTTATATGCATAATTCAATGATTTTTAGTATAGTCATAGAGTTGTGTAACCATGATCTTCTAGAATATTTCATCAGCTCAAAAAAAAATGCTGTATCCCTTAACTACCACTTCAAACTCCCCCCAATCCTCTCAGTCCTAAGAAGCCACTAATATGTCTCTATATATTTGCCCATTCTGGACATTTCATATAAATAGAATCATATAATACATGGGGTTCTATAACTGGCTTGCATTTTTACTTGGAAAAATGTTTTAAAGGTTCATCTATGCTGTCATATGAATCAGTACTTAATTCTTTTTCATGACAGAATAATATTCCACCTCATGGATATACCACATTTTGTTTAGCCAATCCTCAGTTCATGGATACTTGGATTATTTCCACCTTTTGGATATTATAATAATAAAAATTCTATGACCATTCATATATAAGTTTTTATGTGCTAAAATTTTAATGGAATAAGTGAAGGAAGGAATAGAAATATTTTGGATCATTCAACTCAAAGATTACAAATTCAAGATAAAATTTTCACTGGTCTGAGTCAAATGAAACAAAGCAAATTATTATTATTACTTAAATTTATATATTTTTTACATCATTTTTCACAACGTATGCATCTTCTTTTGATGCTTTTTTTTTTTTTTAAAGATTTATCCATTCATGCATACAAGAGCTGGGGTACAGGCCAGAGGTGCAGGGGGTGAGAGGATTCACCAGAGACAGAGTGGGGAACAGAGCAGGCAGACTGACCGAGGTACACTGCTAAGGGGAGCAGCGGGAGAGTCAGCAAAGGTCTGCTGCGCCATGTGGGTTGCTCCCTGGCTGGCTGGGGATAGAACTCGTGCTGCAGAGGCTGCTGATAGCTTGATAGCATCTTAACCCCTTGAGCCACCAGGGAGGCCCCACAATGTATGCATTTTCATCTTGGTTATAGTCCCAAACAATTCCCACCCCACCACCCTCCGTTTTGATCCTACTCCCTGCCCCCCATAGTGTGTCTCTGGTTTATTACTCAGCAATCAAAAAAGATAAACCCATGCAATTTGCAGCAACATGGATGGAGCTGGAAGGGATCATGCTCAGCGAAATAAGCCAGAAAGAAAAACAAAAATACCAGATGGTCTCACTCATAGCAGGAATTTAGAAAACCTAAATAAGGACCAGGAAAAAGACTAATTACAATAAAGTAAAAATCAAAATCAACAAGCAACTATAAACCAAAGCAAATTTTTATTGCGGTTAATATATTCATGTCAAAGGACTATCCTTTATTTTTCAACAATGTTCTTCAAGTTTCTTTTTTATGTTAAACATCCTTTTAAAATGAAATGATGGCAATATCAAAAGGCAGTTTTGATAATTTACTGATTAGGTAGAATATTGTTTTAAAATTTATTTCTCTATTAAATCCAAAAATCTAGGAAACATTGTTCCTTGGAGAAAATGACACAAATGAAAGAGAGACCCTCACAAGATAGCCTGACAGCCAAAGACAAGGAGGGTGCACATTTTCTTTCTTTAACAAGGAAATTAAGAAAAGTGATTAAATTATTAAATTATTTAATAATTAAACTAAATTATTAAAGTTATTGACTTCTGGATGTCACTTCAGTCAATAAACTAACTGAACTACTACTATAGGAAAAACAGGAATTTGGTGCTGTGCAAAGAGACAAAATAAAACTCTGTCTCTGCCTTCTCATAACTTAGTCTTCAATGGAAGAAAACAATCCATCTCTAGTCATTGTTTGCATTTCTCATCCTTCAGAAAGAGCAATATTTGTGGTTAAAAAAATGCTTTCTAAAAAGGAAAACATGACTATTCCTATTGTGCTTACCACTTTACCTGATTATGTGTCAATGTGAGTGGCCACGTGTACAAAGGCAAGCAGTACACATACCTACCCTTTAAGAACTAAAGGGTAACTTATAAGTTATAAACTTAAACAGCTCTAGAAAAAAAATTTACTATAGATATTTAGTTAAATATTATTTATGTAGGGTTTTCAATTTAATAGCAAATAACTACTGACTACTACCATTCACTGTTTTAAGCACTTTATATTTGTTAACTAATTTAATCCACCTAATAATCTTATGAAAAATTACTAGAGTTCTATAAGATATTATTAATATATTAAGATATTACACTTACCTTTGCAAGCATTAATGTTTAATTACACTAATTCTGCTAATGAAAGTTTTTATATATTACTGTATTTATATTTTTATATATTACTGTTTATATATTACTGTATCATTCCCATTGGTATACAAACATACCGTAACTTCTTCCGTTAAAAAAAAATCCTCTCAAGTTCACATTCCACTTGCGGAACCACATTTTTCTGATCCCTTTACAGCAAAACTTACGAGTCTCTATGAATTGCCTCCCAACTTCTTGCCTCTCAGCCTCTCTCCGGCCATTCTGCGATGCTCTTGCCTCAAATACTACTGAACCCACTCTAGTCAAGATTAAGAAATGACCTCAAATTGCTAAATACAATTGTTAACTTTCAGTTCTCATCTCATCTCAACTATCGGTAGCACCTGACACCAGTAAAACACTCCCCTCCTTGAAATACTTTTGTTTTCTTCATATCTTACTACTGCTGCTCCTCAGTCTCCTATGCTGGTTCTTCTACAGCTCCACAACTTGCAAACATTAGCTCACCCAAGGCTCAGTCCTTGGCCTCCTCTCTTTTCTATCTACAATCACTTCACTAATAATCTCCTATTCATGGCACCACTAATATGCAGCTTCAACAGAGAAGGGAGGGTTTTTTTTGGCTATTTTGCTGATGCTGACCCTACCACTTAAAATAGTATGTGGCATGTAGCAGGTGCATGGCAAATATTTGTTCAATGGATGGATGGATGAATAAATGGCTTTCAATATTATCTGTAAACTGAGGACTCTCCAATTTATATCTCTTGCTCAGATCTCTGTCCTGAACTCCAGATATATCCAGTCATCTATCTGCTATCTCCACCTGAACGAGTAATAAACATATGAAACTTAACCAAGTTCAAATGAGAACACCAATCTCCACCCCCCTCCCCCAAGGCTTCTCTGGCTGGCTTCCACTTTTGTAGCAAAGGGCAGCTCCATCCTTCTTGTTTCTCTAGTCAAGAATTCTGAAATCATTCTCTTTCTCTCACATCACATGTTCAATCAGCCAACAAATACTGTGCATTCTGCCTTCAAAATATACTCAGCATCTGACTACCTTTCTCCAAGTCCACTACTATCACTGGTGCCCAAACCATTATTTCTCAGCAGGAGAATAATCTTCTGCTTGGTGCTCCTGCTTCTTAACTATCTCCATCCCCCAATTCAGTCTGATTCAAAACCACAACCAGAGAAATTTTTCCAAAGTTAAGTCAGATCACATCACTTCTCTGCTCATAATCCTGCAATTATTTCTACTGAGTAAAAGTCCAAATCTTGACAACTGCCTATAAACCTCTATTCAGTCTGGCCTTATTATTACATCTCTGACCTCATCGCCTATTTTTCCTTATTTATCCTGCTCCAGTCACATTCGTTTCTTCCAACTAGTAAGCACATTTCTACCTCAGGGCCTTTCCCCTTACAGTTCCCTCTGCCTGGAATGCCATCCATCACCTGCTTCATCCCCTTATCAGGTGCTACCTTCTCTGAGTTTTTCTGGGTCAACAGATTTTAAATTACAACTCTACCCCTAGCCCCTTGTATTTTTTATCCCCTTTCTCTGCTCCATTTTTCTCCATGCATTTTTCGCCACCCAATACTATATTTTACTTTCGGGAACATATGCCCCCCAAAGACAAGAACTTTTGTGTGTTTCATTCATTGCTATACCCTAGTGTTTAGCTACAACAGGCAGTCAATCACCTATTTGTTGAAAGACTTCTTTCACTTCCACCAGGAGTCCTGACAATCAGCTAGCCAGGTATTTCAGGAAAGAGATCCTAGTGCTTCTCTAAGATTTCACCCACTGCTCTGATCCCCAGAAGGATTACACTTTGCCTAGAAAGAAAAACTGTGCTTTGTCTAGTCAACCACAAGGCGGAGTTGCGAGGAAGAGCTGGGCAAAGAGAAATCCGATTATCTTGTTTTCCTTGCTTTTCCTAACGCAACCTCAAGGTGGAAGAAAACTGGATTTCGTGGCCAAATGAATGATTTTCTCCATCCATGAGTTACCTAGGCACACACCAACGGGAACATCCAAAACCACAATCCTTTCAAAAGTCAGAAGGAGCCCAGAAGACACCAGTTGACAGGCCACCGGGTCTGGGTGTTTCTTTAACTCTCCCCCTAAGAATCCTCCAGGAACCCAGGGCCCGGGCTCCGATCAGCCGCGGCGCGTAACTTGCACAATGTGCAGCACGTCAGCTCGGCTCAGGCTGCCTGCACTCGGGCAGCGAGCTCCCGGGTCCACTCCACTTACCACCTCCACGCACCCACCATTCTGAGCCCGCATCATAACAAGCAAGGCGACCCCAGGAGTGAGCTCGAGTGCATGCCGAGCCCCGATTTCTCCACCCCCGACCCCTCTTTCCACGGGCTGTGGACTCACCGCCACCTGTTGATGCCCACGTTGGAGGAGCCCGCGAACCAGGGGTCGAGGATGTAGACGCAGCGGATGGTGTCGGCGCCCTGGATGCACTCGCGCAGGGCCGGGTTGTCGTGGAGCCGGAGCCCCTTTCGGAACCAGTGCACGGCGTTCACCCCCATGCCGGGGGCGCGGCGGGCCCCCCGAGCCCCTGCACCGGGCCGCCTAAGGAAGCCGGGTCCGGCTCATCACCGACACCTCCGCCTCCAGGAGAATCGCCGCCCGCCGGGGGCGAGGGCAGGGCGGCCGCGGGGGCCCCGGAACACAGGGGCCCGCGGGGGGGGGCCCTTGGGGCGCGCGCGGGAGGCGCGGCGGGAAGATGAATGGAGGGTGCCCAGTCCGCGGGGGGCGGGGGTGACGCCCTTCAGGCGCCGACGCCCGCCGCCGCGGCCGGGACGAGGCGCATAACTTGGGGGCCCCCGGGCCCCCGCTGGGCGCGCAGGCTCCGGGCGCCCGACCGCCCCGGTGGCCCCCGGAGGCTCGTCGCGGAAACCTCGCCCCGGCGAGGCGGCCCCGGCAGAGAGAGCCGCCCGGCCGCCCCGAGGGCTGAGGCGGCCTCGGCCCGGGCGCTCACGCTGCCTCCCGGCCGGGCACCGGCGCGCGGGCGCGGGGCGCGGGCTGCGGGGAGGCCGCTGGACCGTCGCCGGCCGCGGACCGGTCCCGAGGCCGCCCGGGTGACTCCGCCGCCCGCGCCGCGTCAGCGGCCCCGGCCCCGCCCCCGGCGCCTCATTGGGGCGCGCGCCCCCCACGTGACCACCGGCACCTCACGTTTCTGAAGTGTGTTTACTACAGCGGCCCTGACGCGGGCACCTACCGGCGCCTCGGCCGCTTCCGGGGGCGGCAGCCGCGCGCTCGCGACACCAGCGGCCCGCGCCCGGCCCGCGAGCTCCCCGCGCCCGCCCCTCCCCCGTCCCGGGGGCCCGCGAGCGCCCACGACGGCCGCAGGCCCCACGTGAGGGAAGGCTCGGCCCCGCCCCTGGGGGCCGTGCGTGGTCGCTATTGGCTGACGCTGGCTGAGACCCGGATGAGCACGGGGCTGCGGGAAGCTCGCGAGCGCGCGCCCGGCCCGGGATGGCGCGTGCGCGCTCGCCGCGTCCACAGGGGAGGGGGGCGGGGCCCGCGGGCGGGAGCGCGCTCGGGGAGGCCGCGCGGGGAGTTGGGCTTCGGTCCGCAGACTGAGAGCGTCCTGCGACCTTAAGCGTTGGCCTGGCGGGGTGTGGGGACCGCAGGGATGGAAGTAGAAGGGACGCGGGCTCCACAGAGACGTGGCGCCCAGTCCATGTGCTTCAGTCTACCTTTGCCCAGGGGGACCCTGCTTTGGGGTGTGCTGACTTGGCGCCCCTACATAATCAGGCCCTGGAGATGGGACCCTGGAATTTGCTGGGGTGGGGGACGGGGGAGGGAGATGATTGACAGGACTGGTGCTAGACGTTTCTGAATTTCTCAAAAACAGGGTCTCTGTCCCGTTGGGGTTTTTGCCTCATTAATACCCAGAATGGTGCCAGACCCGTGTGCATTCACGGTTTTCTCCAATGAATGGGTTAGTGAACGTCGTTTGACACCAGTGAGTTTAGCAACGTTTATAAAGGAGGAAAATTTGGCTTTTGTTACAGGTTGTATTGTGTCCCTCTAAAATTCATATAACCCAAGTATCCAAGTACCTGTGAATGCTGCCCTTTTTTGGAATTACCATCTTGGCAGATGATCAGGTTAACATGAGGTCATTAGGATGGGCCCTAATCCAATATGACTGGAGTCCTTATGAAAAGGGGGAATTCGGAGACACACACACTGGGTGAAGGCCTCTGTGAAGATGCGAGCCACAAGCCCTAGACCAAGGAACTACTCTTAAGCCAGGAGAGTGGCGGAACAGATCCTTCCATAGTGCCTTGGAAGGAACATGGCCCTGCCAACAGTTGGATTTCAGCTTTCTGGCTCCTAGAACTGTTAGACAGTAAATTCCTGTTGTGCCAACCCACCACCCCCATTTAGTGATACTTTGTCACAGCATCTAGAAAAAAAGAATTCAGGGGTAGTGTAAAATCAATCATCTAATAATCCAACATATCTGGATATGCTACTGGAAGACTGAGTTCGGGCCACCTATCCCCATCAAATGCCATAAAATAGAGATAGGGATTGAAACTTTAAGATGCACTTTAATCAGACAACTGGAAATCTGGAAGATGGGCCTGGAAATCCTAAAGAAGCAGCCTTAACATTTCATTTCCAGCTGGCTTTTTATAGTGAGTTAAACAGAGACAGTTCAGCAGTAAACAGGACTTCACCCCTGCCAGGAACTCGGGATGTCCAGCCCTTGGAGTTCCTTATCGCCCTCCTGGGCACTGGCCTCCAGCATGTACTAGCGAGCTGAGGCTAGTCTTCAGATCGCATGACTCCCTGCATTCCTCCAGAGGTGTCCTTGGGCTGGAAAATTAACTCAGAGCAGACAGGCCATGACCAATTGTGTGTGCAGGTTTCCTACCATGCATAGTGTCTTACCTGATCTCCTCCCCCTCCTTAGACCCCATCAGATAGACTTCCCTACCCTGACTTTAGGTACCAGAGGGAGGGTATAGCAGCCGTTCTTTGATTCCTTAAAAATATTTAAAATGATATATAAGAAAACCCTTTGGTGTCTTTATAAAGTATTAAACAAATATTCCTTTTTTTTTCCCCCTAAATCAATGGAGATGAGCCCTGGGTAAGTCCCACTCGGAAGGTCCCCTCACCCAGGCAGAGGATGGGGCACAACCAAGCCCTTACTTGGATCTTGTCATACTCCAGGGCCTGTTGTATTTATACAAATACTGTGTTTCATGTTTCATTTCCGGTAGTTTGAAAGTAAGCACATTGTGTCTAAAGACAGAAGAATTGTTTTCAAGCACCAAAGGAAACCGTGGGAGGGAGAGGGTGAGCAAGACATGGCAGATCTGTGCAGAGTTGACTTATGTTTGCCCATTGTTCATTCAATAAAGTTGCATTATTTTTTAACAGACAGCTGTATGTGGGTGTATAGTGTAACTTTCATTTACACATAAAAAGTACTAATTTATTTTAGGAGCATCAGTACTGATTTCGCTTGCCTCGAAGACTGAAGGTTTTATAATTAGGCATCTATATTGTTACTTGAATGTATTTTTGTTTGGGGGGAAGTGTAACCATTTAATAATAGCTATGACTTACTGAGCACCCACTATATGGTATGTACTTTATATAGATTATTATTAACCCTCATAATAATCTTGTGATGGATCGGTGATAATAAACAGGCATCTATGCTTTCTGGCCTGATTAATTCATCTATAAAATGAGAGAATTAAACTAGATGATTTCTAAGTTTTCTATATTATTTTAAATTCTAGGATTCATGTCAATCCTGACACGAGCTCAAAAACAGCTAAGAAGGGCCTCCCCGGTGGCGCAGCGGTTGAGCGCTGGGTTGCGAAGCTGCCCACAGCCTCTGCAGCGCCAGTTCGATCCCTGGCTGCTCCCGGCCACCAGAAGAGGGTTCCGCATGGCGCACAGACCTCTCCTGCCTCCTGCTGCTCCCCTCAGCAGTGTACTTCGGTCCTTCTGCCTGCTCTGCTCCCTGCTCTGGCTCTGGTGAATTCTCTCACCCTCCCGCGCTTCTGACTATACCCAGTGCTTGTATAAATAAATAAATAAATCTTAAAAAAATCTAAGAAAAGACCTGTTAAATATTCTTTTAACTGCCAACAATGTTTGAAAAATAACCCTTTGATTTCATGAGTCTCCTTGATAAAAGTGTGTTTGCCTGTAAAGTGAAAGTCTGTGTTTTCACCTGACCCCATCTTGGAGAGGTAGTTTTTTTTTTTTTTAAAGATTTATTTATTTATACAAGAACCGGGGTACAGGCCAGATGTGCGGGAGGGTGAGAGGATTCACCAGAGACAGAGTGGGCAACAGAAATACACTGCTGAGGGGAGCAGCGGACAAGGCAGGAGAGGTCTGCTGCGCCATGTGGGATTCTCGCCGGCCAGCTGGGATCTAACCTGCACTGCAGAGACTGCGGACAGCTTCACAGTGTAGCGCTCAACCTCTGGAGGCCCTGAAGAGGTAGTTTTTGGCATGTGTTATCAGCACACAAATAATGAAGGGACAAACAGTATGATCAGTTTGTTCAGTTTTGATATGATGTAAATGTTAGACTTGTAACTTTTGGCTGAGTCCCCACCCACAATAGAGTCTTCGGGAGACTGAATTTAAATGTATTAAAGGATCATTGTTTCATAAGGTAAACTGTGACTCTCACATCAATATAAAATGAACACAAGTCAAAAGATTTTATTTAACTTGCTAATGAAGGAGGGAAACAGGAAGATGTTGCAGTGGAATAAAAAGAAATTCCAAAGGGCCATCAGGAATTTTAAAAATGAATTTGTTTACTATATGCAAAAATATATGCAGAACTGCCTCTTCTACAGAAAAGTGTGAGAAGGGAAGTCAATTGCACTTTCTCTGGAAAAAATTCATTTGCATGTCCATGGATAATACTCATTTACATTTGCTATCAATTATCCAGTTTACAGAGTTGTAAAATAGTTCAAAGATAATGACAGACGAGACCCAGTCATCTTTTTTTCTCATTTCAAAGCCATTTGTAATTTTTGTCACCTCTTTAGAGAGGTATTCTCTGCTCGTGCTAAAGAGGTCCCCTTAGTCTCTATCATAGTTCCCTATTTATGTCATCATAGCACTAATTATGATTTATATTTTAGGTTATTTAATTATTTACTATCAGGCAATCTATGCCTGTCTCTACTCCATCTGCAAGCTCTGGGAGGACAGAGATAGTGGTTTATTGTATTCTTGGTTATTTCATCTGCACCTGCCACAATGCTTGGTCCTCAACAGACTCCCAATGTTCTTCAAGGCACCATGGGACACTCAGTTGATCACATCAACACTGTTCTTCATCTATATGTCAGTTATCAGTGTATTGCCCTTTAGCTCCACATTCAACTTTCATGCCACTATGTTTATGGAAATAAGATCCTGTGAGCATTTTTCTATCGCCACCGGCACCATGTTAAACATTGTTAGTAAAGGGTGCTGAAGGAGGAATGCCAGGTCTGGTATGCTTGTTTTCACTTTCCCATAATATGAGGGCTAGAGCTCACATCTATCAAGTTTCTGTGGCATGCCGGCTGGTGGAT